CCTCCCTGGGCGCCTGCCGGGAGCCCGGCCCTCAGGCCTCTGCGCCCAGGTGGCCAGCAGCTCCTGCAGCTCTTCCCACGGCCCTGCCAGCCCCCCACCCGTCCCTGCCCGGGGTGGGGCTGGGGGGCAGCACTCCCAACACCAGGCCTCACTGCCTGCAGCTGCAGCAGGACCGGGAACGCGGGGTCTCTAGAGGGGCCTCCAGGGCGGGGCCTGTGAGGCGACTGTCGCTGGGTCCCCTCTGTCTCACGGAGCGGAAACAGGACAGACGGGTGCCAAGGGTTCCCAGGGCTGGCAGCCCTCCAGAGGCTGATGGGGCCCCAAACCCTAACTGGCCACTCCCAGGCATCCTCCCTCAAGGCACAGCTTGGGGTACAGGGAGCCAGCCCCCATCATACAGGGGAGGGGGGGTGATGCTGGGGAAGAGAACCACCCAGCACAGCCCAGGAGGCACCACTCATGTGACCTGGGGCCTGAGCCAGGGTGGGCGGGGCCAGCTGGGGGGGAGGCCTGGGTCAGGTGTGAGGGGTGGGCGGGTCCCAGCGGGCTCACCTTGCTCTCCGTGGCCAGGATCACCAGGCAGCAGGCCTCCATAGGCCCCACTCCACTCTCAGACAGAGAGCCTGTGGCGAGGCCTCTGGAACTTTCCGCACACAGACTCTGGCTCGGGGAGATGCCGGGGTCCTGGGCTGAGAAGTCAACACCGGGGCAGGTGAGGGCAGGCGGGGCCTCCCCAGCAGGCACTGGGCGGCCTGGCGTGGCTCAGGGGACACGCCACGTGCCTCCCCCCCCTTCTCTCAGCAAAGGCAAGGACAGGCCAGCAGCCCCCTGCCGTGCCCACTGAGGCCCCCACGTGACCGCCCAGTGCCCTCGCAATTACGGCACAAAGGGCTGAGCGGACACTGAACTGCTGGCTCAGCCTCTCTGATCACAGGGGATCCTGGCAGGGCCCTCCTAACATACGGTCCTGACGGGGGGAAGCGCAGGCCCAGGGCCCAGGGCGGGGCCTGGGCATGTCGGGGACCGAGTCCAGGTTGGGACCCAGACCAGGAGCCCTGCCCATGTCCCTGAAGCCCACTGGTTCACACGGGTCCCCCGCTGGGTCCTACCAGCTGGGGTGTCTCGCATCTGCGGGCAGCGCCGACCTGGGACCCCACACACCTCGGGGCAGAGGCTGTGCTCGACGGGTGCCCGCCCAGCGGGGCCGGAGAGGGAACCCCACTGCCAGGAGAGGCTGCAGAAGGTCTGAGTCCCCTCGGGGGACCATGCAGATCCCACAGCTAGA